CACACTCCCCCATTCCCGCTTCAGGTTATAGATAAACTGCAAATACCGTCGTAAATCCAGCGGCCGCCGTTGGAACGCTCCTAAATGGTTGCTCTGCACGAGAGCACGGCATTCGGACCAGGTTAGAGTGTGGTACTCTTCTGTCCGCGTGCCGAGGATGGAGGAGTCTTTTAAGGAGAGGTTTTGGAGGTACGCTGGGCATGTGGAGGGGCGGAGGTGGGGTGGGAGGTTGGTTTGCCAGTAGGGGATAGATTTTGGTTCTTGGTTGAAGGTGGTGGTGGTGGTTTTGGAGGTAGAAATGGTGGGGGTTTGCGGGAGGACGAAGGTTGTTGTGGTTGTGCTTGTGGTGGGGGTTGTGTCACCCATGATGACTACCGACGGGTGTTGACTTGAAAACAGCCTGTTCGTTTCTGTGTGACCTCGTTAGAGTGTTGGGAGTCACTTAGTTAACGCGTATATTGCTTACCTGCAGTCCAGTCTGCAAGCAATCCTCCTGTCCAATCTGATTCGATCTGATCCAATCTATCTTTAGTACTCGGTTCGCTCGAGGTCGCGATGGATCGGATTCTGATCAGGGTGTCTCGAGGGAGAAGCTTGTGGGAGTGAGGATGGGAGACATGGTCAATGATTGGGATTGACCTTCGAGTCCTTCTGTGGAGGGGTGTACAAGCACCAGGAGTGGGCGGTGTGGATGAGAAATGTCACAGCCTTGTACAGACGGGATTTGAGGACGAGGTGTAGCCTTGTTCGGGGGGAGGGGTCCGTTGTTGCGTCCGGTACGACGGCCGAGTCCGATAGATGTAAATTAACCGAAAGTTATTTATTTAATAAAATTCTTCGATGGAGATCAAGCGATTGCAATATTTTGAGCCTGTATAGGTTATATCTGGAGTCTATCTCATGATTAAAATTTAATTGCTTCTAAGTAGGCACCTTGAATACAGTAATCAATTGCCTATCTAGGTGCTATATCGCATTCGGCCCATGGGCTCCGTAACAAAACAATCGGACCAACCGACTTCTTTCTACACAAATCGGCCCTTATCAACACAATTAAAGAAACACAAGACAAACACGTAGCCCTCACCAATCCCTTACCTTGACATCTTTATCAAAGTTCAGATATCTAAGGTTTCTCACATAAATGGACCAAAAGTGAGGTTATCCCGAAGGACCCAATCCAGCCTCCCAAGCCCCCCAGCGCGTACCCGTTTTGTGTCAGCCCCTTGGTGGAACAATTCCATCAATCCATCCATTCATCGCTTTGTCCCCTTTTTCAAGGCATTTGCATTAGCAATAGCACGCAACCTCCACTGATCCGCTGGAGGAAGCCGTGGGAGTCTGAAAATAACTAAATAGGATGTCAGAGATTCAAAAATAAATCTATAACTTTTTCAGAATTGTGTCTGAATTGCTCAGAAGGCAAAACAAACCCAGGGATCCGAACAGCAAACAGAACTCGGCAAAACATGTGATGTTTGTAAGCCGGGCAGTCGATAAGAGAGAGCGGACCGACCAGCACCGGGAACACTTCTTCGAAGCCGGATTGTCCGGGTTGATTTCTGCGCATCCCCACTGCTAATTTCCCCACGCCTTGGTTCCTCGTTGCACTCTTGGTGCTTTCCTTCTTGAGTCGGTGGAAAAGCTTCGTCATCCATCTCGGGTCATTGGAATGCTCTTGATTGCTTCATCAATTAAGATTCCTTACCGTTCCCAATTGTGCGATGCAAACAAGAGTTTGGATGCATGCATCAGAAGAATCCTCGAAGGTCGATACGAAGTCTGGAATCTTGGGTGTGAAGAAAGTGATGAGAAGAGACCTCTGCAGAATTCGAGACCGTCAGATGCAGATGCAGATGCAGATGCAAAGCGGTACGGTGTGTTGTGTGTCCTTCGTAAATTTGCGATGAATCCTACCCCCTATCTACGAAGTATACGCGGCAGTTCGCCCATCAACCCCCTCCCTATACCACCCCCTCCCCATAAAAGAGCCAGGTCTTCGTCCCAAACTCCCCAATGATTGGACCTTTCATCCCATCTCGATTTCTCGAGATTCGAAAGAACTGGGTAACCACGGGCAGTGCAGGGGATCCAGGCTGTGGACCAAAGCACCCGCAGCAAAGAGTGGGTATTTTCCAGGGAACAAGGGGATTCCGGATCCATTGGGGACCTGGGAAATCTTCGCTATCCGCCTTGTTATTTTATCTTCAGGGGGATGAGGCGGAGTTTGGGTGTGCCTATGGTTTTTGAAGAAAAGGATGTGGGACCAGATTTCAAAGCTGCGTCCGTATTCCGTATATGATGGTAGCTACATCCGCGGATGTGTTTTAATTGCTGTGTTTACACGCGCTTGTTGTCGTAGTTGTCGTTTCCTGCCCTCACTTTAACTCCAGTCACTCTTTAAGGTATCGGTTGAAGTTGCTCACTTGACGGATTGGACATTCGTCGACATCAAAATCGCGAACTTCTCGCTTCACCTTTCCTCACCTTCAGCTTCCTCGCGAAACCAGTCAAACCACACACTCATTAAGATTACCGCACTCAATCACGCGACCCGACGCAATCAATATCGCAATACTTCTGTTCAACCAGCCCTCACATCATCTCATCACGTCAATCAGTCAATCATTACGGGAGAATCGACGAGGCTTGGACTTTCCACCATCACGCCACCTTGAACATCAGAAATAGGAGAATTTGGATGGGGAAGCGATAATCGAAACGCTCGAGTGCTGTTTGCTTTCCTGTTATACACAACACCGTCCTTCGACATCACCACAAGACTACACAGTCACAAACCGTCCAAATGGGTCGCAAACCAAGATCTCAACGACCTCATGTCCCCCGTCCCTCACCCCTCCAGCAAGTCACCCTCACCCGCCCAATATCAACCTTAGAAGTAGACCAGCCATCAGCCGACATGGGACTTGTCCGGGACCCCGAGTTTTGGAAGCGCTTCTCAACAGCTATGCACAAAGCAGAGGAAGTCGAGGCGACCGAGGAGCCAGCAAATCGAGGATCGCGATCAAATAGTGGTAGTAGTGGAGGACAATCGCTGAAGAAAAGCTACTCTTATGGGTATGCCATCTCCGACTTTCAACATGGTGGGGTGAAACACTGACAAGACATAGTGACGACTGGTTAATCCAACAGCGACGGGATAAGAGGCGCTGTCGAATTTACTCCCTCCTCATCGCCGCAGTCGTCATCGCGATTATCGCCGCTGGCGCCATTTGCGGTTGGTACTTTACCCATACCCATTAAAATGGATCTCTGGTTTTCATTTCAGTCGGGGTTTTTTCGTTTCGATAATACCTAGAATCTAGGATTGGCTGCACAAGCAAGCAAACAACTATGTAATGAGAACATGTGGTAAAAGGGATTTCTTTGTTGGCGTTTGGGCAATTGAATTCTTCATTCGAGAAGAATTGTGGGAAAAGATTTCATCGGTCGGACATATAGAGGAGGAGCCCATCGAGTCATCTAACCGACCGACCATCTCGAAGACCTGCGTACATGGTTATGGATTCGAGAGAACGGTTGGTACGGATGTGGGATTGGCATTATATGGATGGAGATCTGGTTGCATTGACCTCATCGGGAGGGATGGAATATCACATTGCCATCGCATCGCATCATGACCTGCTTGTCGTAAAATCAACGGATGGAAGGATGTATGAGCTTAGGCTTGAGCTCGCGCCTGGGATTGTACATAGGAGGGAGGAAGGGAAAATACATGTGCAGAAACACAAAAATAATAATACCATGGAAAAGTCCCACAAACACTGCTAGCATCCCATGTCCCAAGATCTGGAGCTTGGTCTAGAGCTTGGATGTGTCGTCGACTCGTCGATAGCTTCGGCACAGACCAAATCTTTACCCCTCCAGATCAGCCACTTCCCTTCCTGACGGGCAATTTTATTTTGCTGAGAAATCAGCAGTCTTTGCCTTATCGTATCGAGCTGTCGTGATGCTGGGTGCAGTACAGCATCTAGATAGGTATGTTGTACCTATTTTCGGGGTGTTGGGTCTAAGACATGCATCTCTAGCTCGTCATGTCATCGCCTCAAGTGTGCATCTACCACCAGATTCCAGAACCAGAGCCCCAAAACCGCAAGTGCAAACCCCTCTCTCCCACAGCAGGACATCACCCCTCATATATAAATACTTTACCTGCCTCCTCCCATCGCGTGCCTCGCCTTCCCGTACTTTCCCACCCACCACGTGGTCCCGATCGGTAACCCTTCGGCTCGCACTCCTCGCTACAAATTCCCTCTTTCGTCCACGCGCTTTCGAGGGCTTACACCGCATAGATACCTATCACGTACAGTACGGTACCGAACTCTACTCGTACAGTACCTACTCGCTACAGAGAGCTTCGTTGAGCCTGAGCCTGAGTGATTTGTTGTCTTACGACCTTCTCAAGACTCTGGAGCCAGACCAGATTGGGATGGTTCCCGTGGACTCGCAGGACGGTATGTATGCTTGATGGTGTAGGTAGCGAATAGCTAGTTCATATATACGATGAGATACGAGCTAGACAGGGCTTAGTGGGAAAATGTTTGGTATGCGTCTGTGAGTGTTCCGGATTCGGTAGAAAGAGGCGAGTGTGCGATTTGCAACAAACATGTTTTTTGGGGGGGAGGAGGGGGAAGTGTAATGCGTTTGGGTCTTTTTTGTGATGTGATATATGCGGGTGGTGTGGTTTTTTTTCTCGTGAGGTGGGGATGGTGGGTGATGGTGGGGTGGTGATGGGTGTGGTGCTGGTGAGCATGTGATGGTGGTGTTTTTGGTGGGGATGGAAAGCAGAGGATGTTTTTCATATGGTTGTTTTTTTTTTTGCATCCTTTTTATATATACATTTTTATGTATAGGTAAGTGGGTGGGTAGGTAGGTCTAAGTTTTCCGGTAACCCGTGCGTGTAATTGAGACTGGGGAAGAGCCCTGGGTGGTGGTGAGGAGGACAGCTGTGTAGGTAGGTATTTTGTAAAATTTACGATCTAGTGTAGGTCTAGGTAGAGATGTGTAGACTCTTCATTTACTCTGCCGTTCTTTCTGATATTTAGGGATGTTGGATACCTAGAACTGGCTGTGGGCTATGGGTTGCTTTACTTCTTGTCCTGTTTTCGTGTTTGCAGAGTCAGATAACCTGGTGGTGAGTCTTTTAGGATGACTTATCGCGTTTTCCTCCCTCTTTGGGCTTTGAGTTGATGATTCAACCTTAGAAGGAAGGAACAATTGGATCTTGATGGGTTGGATTGGTGTACCGTAGGTAGGTTGTTTTTCTGCCGGTTACCAGTCCTTTTCTTATTGGCCATTAAAGAACGAGGACCGTGAATCTTATTGGTCAATGGAGATACCGTTAGCGAATCATATCATTGGTGATTGGTTGTTAGAACATACGATATTTCCGCCATGTTGATTCACCTAACCTCGCTAACCAAGCCCAAATCTCTGTTTTCATAGTCGGTGGTCCATATTTGTACATACAGTAAGCTCATTACCCCTAGAACGTTATTCGCTAAACTAGGGAACCAAAATCTACAACTTTAAATGTCCCTCTGCGCCCTCTGCCTCTCCATCCCTTTCAATTCCTTACCAACTCCCCCTCCACACACCATATATCTCATAGGTGATCATCCGGGCTTATTGTCTCTCAGACCAATTGAAAATGAGTCATTCCAACATCCAATCGGGTTCCCCTATCATGAGGATGTTGATACACTGGCTGCTTCTGCCTCGACTTGCGCTTTGTGCGCTCTCATTCGCGAAGGGATACAGACGTGGCTGGACATCTATGAAACTACGGTAATCAGCGGCCAGTCAATTGGAACTAATGACAATCGGGCAGGCTCCTTCTCTGACCCATTCATTGGTCAGAAGTTGTGTGTTACGAGAAGGCTTTCTGGGGCGCCTGGAGCTCTTGTGCTTCTTCCCAGTCCGGTCAATGATGGGTCTGTCTATGTGGTGGCGGCTATAGGGGTTTGTGTTGAAGCTGTTTAGTTTCTTTGATTGCAGTGCGGGGGAGATACTGATTCTTGTCAAGACTTGACGGGAAAGCCTCCCTTGGTGCCCCTCGAACTGCAATCAGGCTCATTAAATAGTCTCAATATAGCACGTTCGTGGTTAAAGGATTGTGTTGAAAATCACGAAAGATGTCCTACGAGTATCACTCCACTTCCTACTCGTGTACTTGATGTAAGCGCGTCAGGCGCTGGAATCAGGTTGGTTGATTCGGTAGGCATGCTTGGACAATACGCTTCCTTGTCGTATTGTTGGGGTTCTTCCGAACAGTTCACGACCACAAAAGATAACATCAAGACGAGAATGTTGGGAATCAATGAATCTCACCTTCCAAAGACTATATCTGACGCTGTCGCCATCACAAGACAGCTCGCAATCAAGTATCTTTGGGTCGATAGTCTCTGTATCTGCCAAGGTGATGCGGAGGACTGGTCACGGGAATCAGCACGTATGACAGAAGTATATTCAAATGCTCATATCGTCATTGCGAACAACCACGGTAACGACAGCTCAGTTGGTTGCTTCAGCACGCGAATACCACGTCCTATGAGTGAGCTAAACCTACCTGGATTCGCAAGAAATCTAGTTGCGATGGTTTTGTACATTCAGGATGAGATGTGGGTTGACCTTGGGGAATTTGGAGGCGAGGCACTTACTCAGCGTGGTTGGGCACTGCAAGAGCGCGTTCTGGCAAAGCGATTATTGCATTACAATACCAGGCAGATGTACTTTGAATGCAGCCAAGGCATATTCAGCGAAGACGATTGTACCACGAAGAACCGTTACTGTAGTCTGGACGCCTCGTTGAGGCAATGGAACGAGCTTGTGGCCTCGTACGGAAAAAGGAAGCTTACCAACTCGTCTGACAAATTCCCAGCTATCGGAGGCTTAGCGAAGTTATTTGAAAAAGAACTCAAAGCGCAATATATAGCCGGTCTTTGGAGCACTCACTTGATATCAGGCCTGGCGTGGTCTCGGTCCCATCAAATAGTCTCAACCAACAAAGAGTATCTAGGGCCAAGTTGGAGTTGGGCGAGCTACGGAGACCGCGCCATCTTCAGTGGGGAGGGAGGCAGTGATATCTCGAAAGTAGTGGAATGGAATGTTGAGCCCAGGTCCCAAAGTAACGTCTACGGAGAAATTGCAAGTGCTTGGTTGCGTATACGTGCTCCCATACTGAATCTCATTCCTGGCATATCCGAATCCATGTTCACACTGCACAAAGATGACAGAAGTAGATACGTGTTTTTTGACAGTACTGAAACGGAGTCGGGAAAGCGTCATACTTGGGACCTTGAGATTTTACTTCTGCAAGAAAAAGTCATCAACGCGCAGATTGATGATAACTATGAGTGCTTTGCATTGATTGTTAGCAAGGTGGGCAACGAACGGAAGAGAGTCGGATGTAAGTTTCTTTGGGACTGAGAGGAGGTTGCAAGGATAATCGAAGATGAAAGCAATTGGAAGACTGTGACCTTGATATGAGGCGCGATCGCGATCCTTGGGGTGCGATATCTTATTCGTCGATATTAGGATTGACCAATAAGAAACCGAGTTACTGTAGCCAATTCTTCGAGCTCCGTGAATTCTGAAATACTAAATTTCACTATCGGTCGAGTGGTTTTGTTATTATTCACTCCCGTTGTAAGTAGCACTTTCTTAGGTGATTGGTCAAGATATTGGATGCATTGTCGCTACTCTATACATTCTTTATTAAATGTTATTATCTTGAACTTCTAGTATAAATAAATTGATTTTTAGTAGTATACCTAGGCCCATAAAAATTAAATAGTAACAATAATTCTAAGCTCTTTATATTATTATAGAATTTATTTAGTTATTCAAGGCTGTTGGAATAATTTTATTCTAAGAGATGTGTTTACAAAGTCACGACCACGTCTCTTACAATTATTACTATATATAATTATCTTTGGAGCTTTGTAGATCAATCATTTGAAGAGGAGAGACAGGGGTAGGGTGAGTGGAGACGGGGGTTATAGAGACCAGGATATAAAAGGTGAAGTAGATGATTATTCACCCAGTTGCTATAGGGTTTAGGTTGAATTCACCCCTATAAGTTGTTCACAGGGTCTAAAGAATCAGTCGTTTCAGATTTGAATTAACCAATAAGAAAAGTGGTAGTCTGATTTACTTAAATATAATTATATATATAAAAAAAGCCTATGTTATAGATGGTTTTATAATGTCTCTCTCTGGTCTAGTACTTTACTGAATTATATAAAGTTCAGGGGCACAGGTGGTAATACAAGACTACGTCTTTAATTCCAGCTATTTAATTCTAACATTTACTAGTAAACAGATTAAAAGGCGTTATTAAGATGGTATAATAGTACGACTTCGTGGATTATAAATCGCTTACGCAGACTACTTTGTAGATTAAAATTTTGATTATGACAGAGCTCACTTATGATATTGAACGTTCTATATTAGCCTTTATATTATTTTTAGCAAAGCTCTGATTAGGATAGACATTGCTACTTACAGGGGTCTTGAATGTTGACTAGTGTGGTATAGTTACTATTAACAAGCTTTATCTTTATAATGTTATTGACAAATCTTTCTGAGTGTATTTTCGCTTAACAAACACCTCTTTATTTCATCACCTAAGTTCTCCACAATTACTTATTTTACCTCGCGAATCATTAATTTACTATTTCTCCAAATCATACATCCAATGTATCTCTCAAATACGACTCTCACCCAGCAGATCTGGTAGGGTCAGGGGTAAGCTTCGAATTCTCTTTCTTGAAACGATTATTTGAAAGACATAAGAGAAAATCTATGGCTCTGCTAAGCAGATCAGTATAATAGAATTGAACTCAGACACACATCCTCATTACTTTAAGTCCTCCCCCCTTGGACCTATATATAGATATAGCTACGGGTACGAGTATAAGAAATTTGTTTCACCTACCGATTTGCCAAGGTACCTGGTCTCAAGGAACCTTGGTATGGTACCTCAATAGGTGATTTTCGAACCCTAAGAAGTTTTTAGCGTTAAACGTGATAATCCGACTTTGAATTTCCGTAACTCTTTTTTATACAGGTGTTGTCTGATAGAAATTCGCGCACTTGGATTTATAGTTAGACTACGAGTCTTCTATAACAGGGTTTTTGTTTGCCGTTGCACGCGACAGGGTGAGATAGGGTTCAACTGTTGGCTCAGCGCAACTAGCTCCATGCCATCGTCAAAAATGGTTACCTCCATGCTCATCCCACCGTTCTGGATCTGTTTAGCGTCCGCCCGCCACTTCATGCCCCCTGGTGGTAAGCGTTTCTTGATCTCAATGCCGTTAGCAAAAGAGGAAGTCATTGCTGGTGCTGCATACGAGCGCGAAGCGGCGGTGACTGGCCTCTGAATGCCTGATTCGCAGTCCCTTTGCTGTTCTAATCCAGCAGTGATAGTCATTCTCGATCCTCCAGTTGACACTTCTGCGTAAAAGTTGTTGAGAACGGGTAGCGACAGATCCAACACAAATCCCAGGGTCTCATTGGTAAAAGTTGTTCCTGGATCGGAAGGCGTCACCCACTTGCCACAAATCCTAGGCTCATTCAAGTCACGCGGCACGAAAAACTTGAGATACGACTGTACAGAGTGGAAGCTTTCTGGGTGGTAGGGTGGTTGTTATGAGATCCAATCGGGATCCTTATCAACATCAAGCATGGGAATCAGGTGTTCAATGGGTGTTGGATCCAACTAGGACGTCTCAAATGAGCATCCTCTGCTGAGGGAAAGGTGTGTCATACTGTAGACAACGCATTAGCACAAATCCCATCATGTAATTCTCCTCCCTTAGCTGACCGCAGCGTGAACGGTGGGCGCAACCTTTCCCAATGAGTTCGAGTTTTGCAAGAGCTGGGAACAGCAGGCGGGAAAACTGCCACTGCATACTCAGAATATTAGGTTGCTTGAAGTCGCCGTGCGCCTCTTCCAAAAGAACTCTTATTGCTTGGTTTACCGCAGAAATTGCTAGTCCGCCAAATAGTCTTTTGATATGATAATAGAAACTTGGGTAAACTGGTTTGGGAAGCAACTGGGCAGCTCACGCGGACTAAAGCAGAAGGAGGTTGGTCGATCAAATTCAAACTAGCCGTTTCCGAGATTTCGAATCCTGCTTGTTATAGCTTCAGGGTTCGATGTTGGTATTATGCTGGTAGTTTCCTTTGTGGGTGGCATGTTGGTGCTTATTCTTGCCATTCAAAGGAGTAAATATGGGGATCAGCAATGCGTTTTTTTGAGTGGGGGTCTGGAAGAAAGCAGAAAGAAGAATACGTTCAACTTTATACTACTGTTTGCGGTTTAATTAAGTCTTTTGAATTGGGATTTAGTTCCGCAGTCACCTTGCTTACCTCGCAGCCCTGAGGGTACCCCTTGTTATTTTGACGATCCCAACGGGGAAGAGGTTCTCCTCTCTTGACTTGCATTTCTCATATAGTAAGCGATCCTGCTCCTCTCCTCGCTTTCTTTAATCTACAATCCTGTGAACCATGCCGACGCTTCAATTCTCAGAGGGTCTCAGCCCACCGCAGCCAATCCTTCAAAGGAAACAGCTGTTGAACCACATCATTGATGGATTTGCCCAAACTCGCCCAGAATCTGTGTGGGCAAAAGTGCCCAAGAATTCTACTAGCTACAATGCTGGATACCGCAAAATTACGTACAAGTTGATGGCAAACGCAGTCAATGGGCTGGCGTGGTGGATCAAAAGAGAATTAGGAGAGTCAAAAACGTTTGAAACACTTGCCTATTTTGGAAATTGGGATCCACGATACTGTATATTGATGTTAGCTGCCGTGAAAGCTGGATACAAGGTAGATTTTGAAAGGTTCAGACACTTTGGTCTAACTAACGGAAAACAGATGATCTTTCCTTCACCTACTTATGCGATTGCTGGGGTCACACGACTATTGGATCGAGTGGATTGCAAATGCATTTTGATGTCTTCTGGTCAGCTAGATATCATCAAGAAGCTTTCCCAACACACCGGGCGTCAACTCTACAGTATTCCGAGTTTCGAAACCCTTCTTAACGAAGAATATCCGCACTATCCATTCGATAAAACATTCGAGAGCGCAAGAGAAGAACCCCTAGTTATGGTTCACACTTCAGGAACAACCGGAATGCCCAAGCCGTTAATTTACACCCATGACTGGGTCGCAACTTGGGTTGAACAATGTCAAACGAGCCCAATAGAAGGACACATGAGTCTTGAGTCTATTTGTTTTGGAATCGAAATTTGCGCAGTTGGACCACCCAATCACGTTCGTTTCTCAAACTCGTGAAGTACCAGTTGTTCTCCACTGACTTATCACAGAGTAGCAATTTCTACCCAAACATTTTTGCCGCTATACCAAACCAAATTGTGGTGATCTTTCCTTTACCAGAAGCTTCGTTCACGTTTGAGACTGCTATGGAAATGATCAGGGGAAATGATCCGTATCTTCTTCTTGCACCGGCGCACATTTTAGATGGAATAGCTTCGGATAAAAAGTACATTGAAGAAGTCCCCTCTAAAGTAAAATGGATTGCATTCGGTGGCGGTCCCCTATCCAAACCCACAGGTGCTATCCTAACCGAGTGTTTCCAACTATTTGGAATGTATGGAACAAGCGAAATGGGGACGGTGCCTAAGATTGTTCCAACAGGGCCTTGGAATAGGCGTTCTTGGAACAGCTGGAAACCGCATTCAATTAGGAACATGTCATTCCGACAGATACAAGGCGGTGACAGCTATGAAGCATGGATCACTAAGAACAAGGAAGCCGAAGAGGAGCAACCTGTTCTCAAGATGTTTCCTGAGCTGAATGAATGGTCCACGAGAGATATGTTCACGGCTGATCCTCATCGAGAGGGTTTCTGGTCGTACCAAGGCTGAGTTGACGATCTGATTCTTCTGAGCAATGGCGGTTCGGTAAACCCGTCTGGTTACGAGGCAAGGCTCTCCGGCGTTCCATTCGTGAAACAGGCAATCATGTGTGGCACTGGAAAACTGGGAGCCTCGTTGCTCGTTGAGCTAATCGATTCTTCAACACATGACTTAGGTCAGCTCGAGGAGTTGTGGAAGGTGGTAGCGGAATGTAACAATTTATTCCCTCCTCAATCTTCAGTTCCTCGATCTCGAATTATCATCGTGTCATCTGATAAGCCATTCCCGAGGTCGCCAAAAGGAAGCATTCAGCGAGCAAGTGCATTAGAAATGTACAGCACGGAGATCAACCAGGTGTATCAGGAGTCCTGAATTACTTGGGTAAATGGGGAAAGAGCGCGGTTAGATTTGAGGAACCGAAGCCACCTTGTCGAATAGTTTTCTTTTAGCAGTTCTACCTGATCTTAGCTGGGATATAAATGAATCTATTGGGCTTTTGCTTCTTTTAATTCTGGGTCCGCTGCGCTGGCTTTTTATATATTGGGCAGTGATCTTATCAAGTATGCAAGTATGCTGTGAACAATCCTTTCAGTGCAACTAGTATCGAGACTTACAGGGCCAGAGAAAAGACTCAGAGACATTATGACCTATGTAGAGTAATTGTTGCCTTGCTAGGAGAGGATGTGTTTACCTATATTTTTCAGAAACTTCCACGAGTTTCAATAATTGGAATCAATGAAAGGATAGCTGATGTATTACTCACACTCGCACAAGCGAAATGATCAGGAATCATTCTACTGGTTGAACTCCACACATTGCATCAAACGCATATCTATGACTTATATGACTTCTCAACGCGTAAAGAGTGCTGTATATAACATATTTGCCGCAAAGAAATGGTAGGTGAAACACGTGAAAGAATATATGATTGCTAGGTAACTATTAGTTGACCAGTTACAAATTACAAAATCCTTCCCAATAAGCACCACATAAGTGCTACTTGGAACCTCATGCCTTGTTAAGCTAGCCCCCGTAGAAATGTAACCGAATATGTAACACAATTCTCCTCCGAAGACCTACAGCTCGTTCCCTTCAGCAATAATCGTAACAGCACTAGAAACACCACCACAAACCATCTTACCTACGCTATATATATTACTATACTAATTCACTAAAACTGTATATCTCCATACGTACCTCAACGTACAACTCTAGCTACACTTAATAGCATTTCGAAGGGCATGCTCGGTTATGATCACCCCTTGTTTTGGAACGGAGAGTGCGGAGGTACCAAATAATGAAAGTCGGATAGGACATTCCCATAATAACCTCACTAATACTTTCCGACTCCAAGATAAGACCCGCGAAGAATGTTATTCTCCTACCTCCCTATTTGCATATTTCGCCGACCTTTTAAACTTACTCAGCAATACTACTCCCACTGGAGAGGCCGCAAACGACGAAGACCTGCCAGGCTCTCGAAACGGCCTACTAAATCTTCTATCTAAGCGGCGCCAAGATCTTCGAAAGCTTAGACTCAGTTGTACAAATTCTCAAACCTAATACCTTATATTAATCTCGTCAACGAGGTACTAGAGTATTTCGTTCGCTTCGAGTATCTGTCTTCTCCGGATTCTATCTAGACATATAATACTTTAACTAGTACCTAAAATATTGAACACTCTTCTTAGTCACTTATTCTTCCTAGAAACACAGACTACGAGGTGTATTCAAATATCATTTTACAGGAGAAGTTCCCCTTTAACTGCTTTCTATATAACCAGGCACGAAATATGGTGATTGTTTACTTCAATATTTTCGGAATAGACCATCGTCACTTTGTTGATATTCTGTTATAGAGAATGACAACAATAAACACCACAGATGAAGTGATGAAATTGCTGGAACTGGGAGCATAAGAAGTATTGGAGAGACAAAGGGCCGCAAAAACACTGGATCTACACCAGAAGGAGTTTACAGCTATTACTGGAGAAACCTTCTTTACACAGTCATTTGGCGACCTTCTAAATGGTCTTTCAGGAGACACGTTCGTTGACACTGACATCCAAGAGTACGAATTTTGCCAGTTTTGGGGCTATAAGGATGATGAGACCATGCTAAATGTTTCCAGTGGCCTCCACTATGATGCCCAGAAACAAGAATGTCAGAGATAGGTTGAGCATATCGACCGTAACCAATTTCTCTCCATACACCGAGACTGCTGGTATCCAATTTGGTGATTTCTTTATCAGGACGTGCGACATGACCGAACAGAACCTGAAATAGAACATCGTGGCGAAATCAGTTTCACCTGGGCAGCCGTGGGTGATACATTTATCTCTGTGTTCGTTGTATTTATGCTGGGAAAATATTTCATTACATGCTTCCAGCTTTCTTCACAATCTTGTGGGAGAACCGCTTCTTCTTTCTGAATCTTTCAACATGGCTGATAACTGAATCAAATTCTAAGTCAAGTGTTAAGTTTTTGTTTCTTTCTTCACACATAGTAATACTACGATATTTATATAAGACCTCGTGTCGGTTGACGCCAGGAAAATTTTAATTGAATTATTCTGGATAGTCATATATTTCTGCGAGGACTGTTTCTTTTTTGTCTTGATAAGCTTTGGTGATTTTGGTACTTGATCTCATCAGGGGCACTTAAGCGAGGACCAAATTGAGGTCACATGACTATGTCGCCTGTCAGAAGTTTCAATTGCGTAGTTTTCTGAGATTGGATGATCACCGAGAGAGTATAGCATAGCTTCTGTCTTATAAGGAGATATATAGACTTAAAATCATAAAATATGGGTATAATATTACCTGTTTAGGCTTCTCCCCTAGACTAGCCTAGACTAGCTAGGTTGTAACGAATACTCAAACTGGCTAACTAAACTTGGCTGGGTGTTCGCTGGTTGGTATGCTATGATAAGAAGAAGACTATCGGGTTGTTCACTTGGAAGTGAACTCGTTACTTGTATCAAAGATGTCAAACTAATATGATAAGATTGATAACTAAGTTGAGCACGAAGCTCCTATCTAATGGCAGACGTGCCAGTGTTATATAGAACCTTCTTGCTCATGGATCTGGTTGGATCCTAGGATCCCCAAGATCCATCCAGATCCAAAGATCCGTCACGTGACTATAATGAAATCCTTGGATCGCTTAGCTAGTCTAGCCGATCCCTATTCGCTATAAGAGCATGATAGTGCTTAACCTGTCAGGACGCCGCCTGGTCTTCACTCGTCACATGCTAACACGTGATTCGTGACATAGGTACGTAGAGATGTCACAATATTGAAACTACTCTACTTTAGTTCAAAAACTATATAAAATAGGTCTACTAGAGATACTCTGCGTATCACTCTCTAAGGAACTAATCAGAGTTCCTAATGTGCAATTCCAGGTCCTTAGAAAATGTATAAGTCACGTGACATATCAACATATCAGACATATCTATGCAGGTGTATTGAGCAGTGAATAGGCTAACCCGATCAATCCCATTTCGCCTTTGAGTTGGACACCCAATAAGAATTGTTATCAACCGAACATTACAATTACCGGACGGAGCACGGTATTTCATCCTGAAACTCGCTTCTCATCTCAGCTTTGAATCGCACAAACATCGGATGAACCCACCAGGGTTCTTCCTTTCAGCAAAGACTCCCAAGATTCCGGCTGTTGAGCCGACCGAAAGGGGCAAAAGGTTTACCGGATAGGAAGCACTCCGCCTTAGTTTAGAATATGCAACGAATGAAAAAATTGTATTACCTTTTTCCGCATCCATGAAAGGAGTGTTCCTCTCGTACGTCGATAATGCTTACAAAAACAGGTAGTTGTTACCTAAGAACTCAAGTGGAAAAGCTAAGAAATCCTGCTGCCGCGGTGACGGAGCGCTCTCCCCCAAGAACAGCGATCCGAACCAGTCGGGGATGCAATTACTGGAATGGGAAGACTCCGTCGTGGCTGCGAAGTGCAACAGAGGGAGATGTTAAACCTTTTTTTTCTGTTGGGAAAGAAGGTTTGGAATGGGGATTGGTGATCTTGTGGTTTTTTGTCTGGTTTGCGGGTTTGAGGTGGGCGGAGTTTGATGGATGGGGTTGTAAGACCGGGTTCTCTTTTTGGGTTGTGGAACGGTGAGGACGGAGCGAGAGGAGGATGGTTACTAGATGGGGATATTCCGATGAGAGTGCGAATTGCAACAAATTATTTTTGGGTTTGCTTTAAGGGATGAGAGGAGGAATGAGGAGATGTTTCCGGGTTTTGACTTCAAGGTGAGGGTTTGCTCTCCGATGTGGAGGGGTTTTGTGTGGTTGTGTGTGGCTATGTGTTGGCATTTCTTTACATACGGCGGCTGTCTGCAGCAAAGGTACGGAGAATACTGACATGTTCGGGGCCCTTACCCGAGAATGAGCGACAGATCAAGGAGATTTTGAAAGAAAAGTTCCCTCCAACCCACGATGGAATAAGCTCTTAGCCGCTGCTGGCTGGTACTCAGAGCTAACAATAATAATTTGTACGTACATAAGTACAATATCATCTTCCTTAGACCCGCTGCTGACTACCATCCCCGGATTTCGATCCACAACACGTGCCTGTAAGCTTACATTCGGCATCGGTTACTACTGTAACCGTACATCGTATTGTTGAACATCAGGATCTACCAACATCCGGTTCCTTTCATTAATGTTTCTGTATACTTTTCCGGAACGGGCCCTTTTCGAACATCTGCGAAATGCGACAAAGTACTTTCTTTCCCTGATTTCATCTCAGCGTAACTTTTGGAGGGTTCATCTTCGAGCAGCATCTCCACATTTCCTCAACATTGCCACGTGGGTTATCCTTCAACGTCTTCAAACGTCCGCCAATTCTTGCTTTCTTTACGGGTACATATCTACTCATGTACATAACCTTTTCTCGGAAAGGGACCGACCCGACAATGATCACGACGTGCAACGAAAACGTATCTCTGCTCCAAGTAATTGATTTGTATATTACTTTTCATTTC